GCGCTGCAGCTTCTCCTGCTCCTTCTGCAGCCGCTCTTCTACTTCTCGCTCTCTAGCAGCTGTGTCAACAGGCTTTGCCCCTCCAAAGATAGAGGCCGCTCGACTGGACTGGGAGGTGCTAGCAGAGGAATCATCTTCCTTAGGAGTACTCCGAGGCTTTAGATTCAGTTTGGGTCTTTGCGGGGGACCTCTATCATCACGCCTATAGTCATCCCGAGAGTAATCATCTCTGGAGCTCCATGACCGATCGTCTCGTCTGTCGTATCTGTCTTCATAGCGGTCCCCACCTCCTCTGTAGTCATCATCCCTACGGTACCCACTGCCAAATGCTCTTCTGCCACTGCCTATCCTGGAATCGTAGCCTGTGAACATATCCCAAATTATGATCATCACATCGGAGGGAAGAAAGGCAAGAAAGGGGTTCTTGAAAGAAAGCAATTTCACTTAGTTGTGTTTTGTAATAACCTCTGTCGTAGTCCCTGCTGCCTCGGTCATCATAGCGATCCCGGCCCCCATATCGATCCATATCTCGGCGTGGGCCATCACGATACCCGTCCCGATACCCATCACGGTATCGGTCTGAATCATAACGATCTCGATACTTGTCTCCAAAGCTATCATCACCTCTCCTCGGTGGGTAGTCATCGAAGCTGTCTGTGGCAGGACGGGCCCTCCAGTCTGTATCTGTTTTGTCAGAATCCCGATTTCTATCTCGGCCAAAAGAACGATCATCCCTGTCTTTATCCTGTGCTTGATCAGCAACGTCCACTCGAATTCTCCTGTTACCTAGAGACTCTTCGTTGAGGCTCAGGGCACTAAGCAAAGAATCCAGGTCCTCAAACTCAGCATAACCAAAACCTTTCAACCTCTCTGGATTGCTGGGTTCACATGGTAAACGCACTGCACTGATATTTAATCCTCTAAAGAATTCCTTAATGGATTCTTCTGTCACATCATAGGGCAGGTTCCCTAAAAAGGAGTATAGGGTGGCGATTTCGGAAGATGGCTCCAGTCAATATTGGGTTCCCGAGCAGCCCGTGGAGCAGTGGGCAGGATAGAACGGTCAATTGGAGGTGCCCTGTACACGTCGTCATCATTACTGTGCCAAGTGGTTGAAACATCTCCTTCCAGGTCATCTGTTTCATCAGCCCAGCTGACTGGTTTGGGAACATAGGTGCTTCCTCCCCCAGTCCCTCCATCCTCAGCCAGGAAGTCTGTTAGGGAGATAGTTTTCCCCCTTCTTATTCTTCTTTTTTGCTGAGGCCGCCATGTTGGGAGAGGGAGAGAGAACGCCAGGATATTCATTTTTTAAATGACATTATCTATAGTAGGTTTGAAATTTAGTGTCCTGACATATTTTAAGAGGGTTTAGTAGAGAATCAGTATTTCCACATGGTGTTAAAATATGTGTGGTGTTAGATGTTGACATTCTGGATGCTTGCTCAGAGGTTTAACATTTCCTGTGTGTTCTCCTCCTCCTCAGTGATTTCCTTGGCTTATGAACATCGTCTACTAACTAGACATTCAGTGTCCCATCATTCCATCATTTGTGTATCTTCTCTTTCTTACACATTCTCAGCCCTTATTCTGGCCCTATACTTTCGTGTTGGTCTCAGAGTCTACGTATTAGTTCCTCTCCTGTCTTCTCTGTATGCTCTGTTCAGACTCTTGGTGTTTTTTGTTTTTTTGTTTGTTTGTTTTTTGTTTTTTTCACATGGCTTTGCCATTTTCATGTTTTCTTTCACTGTTTAAGTCCTGTTCAAGAAAATAAACCAGCAAATGTGTGCAATTTTGATTCAGTAAACTCTCAGAAGGCATGGAGTTTTATGCATCATTCAGCAGCCTGTCCCTGCCATTCTGTGTCTATCCCTGAGAGAGCTGGCTTTGTGGTGAGTAAGGGCTTCCTTCGTTCACGGATCCTGTGTGGAGTGATCCTGTGGTCCTCACATCCTTCAGAGATTCCCTTTTCTTTCCCATTATCCCTTGCTGGACAACTTCTTGTTCTTGCTTTGGATATTTCTTCTCTTCCATCTTACCCTTCCTCCACTATTATGTTCATATGACAGCGTTACCATGACACCTGACCCTGAAGGGGACACACACACACTCACATGTGTGCTTGCTTATAAAAAAGGCTTTGTCTTTGTACATTCCTTTGCTCCAATATTGTAGTTGAGTTGGGCTCATTGGAGTAGAATTCTATTGCAGTGTTTTGTGTTCACATGGGCTCATGGCGTATCTCCAAGGACTTGCCTGGTTAGGCTAGTTCTGCCTCATACCACTGACCACATATCACAGACCTCTGCTGTCTCCTTTCATGTGGGCATTATCTAGAGGATCTAGAACAATCTGCATGTCACATTATTATTTTTTACCACTTACATCAATGTCTATGTTTGCAGAAACATTAAAACAGATGGAGACAAATGGCATACGTGTTCACGTTGGAGTCACTCATTTAAAGTAACACTGCAGTGATAATCTTTCTCCAACGTTTTACTGGATTCTGTTGCTCTCCAAAGCAAAGTAGAGAAGAAACTCTGTTTTGGCAGCATTTATTTTGCTTAAAAACTAAAACAAATGTCCTTTTCCACATCCCCAGTAATTGGTGACTCATCCATGTAGCTTTAGAGCATTTTGCCCTCTCTGTCATCCATGTTTTGAAGTCCAGTCTCTTAGTGTTTACTGTACAGTTTTATGTTAGTACATAAAATCTTATCACCGATTAAAGACCACAGTCGTTGTTAGGAAGTATTTGGCAGCATGTCTGGAAAATTCCAAGCTGGGAACTTTAAAAAAGAAGAAAGAGACGTAGACAAGAAGACCAGAGAGAGAGGTTTATAACTCAGCTATTCCACAATGCCTCCAGGAGCTCATGTCATCTCTCTCTCTCACCGTTCCGCCATGTTTGGCTGTTAGGTTTTCATCTCGTCCTCAAGCCTGTGGATCCTGATGCGACAATACCATGCAGGCCACCCACAACCAGGTAGGGGGAAGGGAGGTAGTTGGTACAAGATGTTTGGGTCCTTTTTATTATAAGAAAGATTTCTCAGAAATTCTCTGCATAAGAGTCCACAGGTGGGCATTCATCTCTGATGCCTCCCACCCCCCACCCACTCCAGGCAGGTTGGGAAAATGTATTGGACCAGCTGACCCAAGTGTGCCCATATCTCAGGACTATTTGGCTCTCAATGGGAAAATCTGTTGGGATGCTTGAGTTTCATTGAAGTAAGGTTCAATTATTTTTCTAATTAATCACAATCTTCACCTGAAAGCAACAGTGTAGATGAACACTCCATCACAAAAGAATAAAGCCCTATCACACTAGTTAATCTAACATCCAGGAGCGAATGATATCCCGTTAAGTGCGAAGGAAGACATAAAAGAATTAAAGGCACAATTCTGATGCTAAGGATTGAAGGGACAAGACTTATGAAAACAAAAAGTTGAATGAAAATTAAATAAAAAGGAGGACCTAGACCTGAAAGTAATATTATGATAGTACTAATAACAGTCCAAAGTAATTGTACAGCCAATTATTGTTACAAAGGAAGGTTAATGATCATTAATTATCATCAGGAATTCTTTTCTTGTAGATCTCAAACCTCAGAAATCAATACAGAAAGTACAACAGAAAATTCAAACAATGCCCCCAACAATTAAAAAAAAAAAAATCACGCAGAAGTGCATAACAATCTAATAGCTCATGCAGAACCAGGATCTATAAACCACCTTTCATCATTTTAGAGAGGACTGCATTGGTTGGACTGATACTATTTGTGTTTGTAACAAGACATGTCCTTGGATGAGGTGAGACACTTCACTGTGAAACTTCAGAATAATTTTATTCATAACTGAAATGAAAAATGGAGCCAAACTTTCTGGATGGCTGATATAAGAAACGCCTGATGGTTATACATCTCTGAGATAATTGGATGGTATTCAAGTTTCCACAGATGGAAAATAATGATGTATAACTTCAATACAACAAAAAGCCGCTATAATCAACTCAAGCCATAGTCATTAAGCTTTTTGCCTAGGTGCCTGCTGCCACACTACTTGTTAAAATAAGACAATTTCATGCCTGAGATTAGCAGAACAGGAAAATAGCAAAAACAAAACCAACATCAACAAACAAGAATGTGTATCACCCTTAAAGAAGCACACAAAAGATTTTAGAAACATGTCAGCTATTAAAACTGATAAGATGCTAAAGAGCTGATACTGAAAATTTGGTTGTTCCCCAAATATTCATATAGTGTATTTTATTTTTTAAATTTTTTTCAAATTCTTATTTAAATTCTAGTTAGTTAACATACAGTGCAATATTGGTTTCAGGAGTAGAACTCAGTGATTCGTCACTTTCTTACAACACCCAGTGCTCAACACAACAAGTGCCCTCCTTAATGCCCATCCCCCAACTAGCCCATAACCCCACCACACCCTCCATCAACCCTGAGTTTGTTCTCTATCTTTACGAGTCTCTAATGGTTTGTTTCCCTCTCTTCCCCTCACCCCCCATATGTTCATCTGTTTTGTTTCTTAAATTCCACAGAGGAGTGAAATCATATGGTAGTTGTCTTTCTCTATCTGACTTATTTCACTTAGCATAATACATTCTGTTCATTCCACTCTGTAGAGATTTCCTACAGACTTGGGCACAGAAGCTACATCTTCGATAGAAAACATCAAGCCATACCCATTTGAAACTCATTTTCTAGCTCAGTTCATACGACATCTTTTCATAAGACAGTAAGAAAGTTATCTTTGCATAAAACAGAAAACCATTATGTTTTCAAGACAATTAAGAAGATAATAATTGCAGCCAAGAGATGATATCCCTGGTCCTTTGGATTATTTTCATGTTCTGGATCATTGGTGGTGGTGGGAGGGAAAAATGTGGTTCATTTCAATTAACTTAAGGTTAAACACAACACCTTGATAACAATAATAAAATACGGGTCTAGAACAAAATCTAAAACCAGTGAAGCCAAAGATTGTCCAATGTGAGAACTAGCATTCCCGTGAGGAAGAAATGAAGTGAGATGCGGCCAGATTATAACTGCTTGAAGTTTTGTTCTGCTTCCCACTGTGGTTGAGTGGGATGGGAGAGGAGCCCTCATCAGATAGATATCCTCATGATCCTGGACATAGCCAGCAACATGTTATACAGCATGACATCACTTAAATGCATTTTGTGTTTAATGTGGCTGGAGAAATCTCCAAATGTCAATTGAAATCCTGCCCTTAATTTGTCATAAGCAAGATTTGAATTTTAACAGGGACAGCAGGGCCCCTTGCCCAATATCATTAATGAAGATACTAGAAGAGGGCTTGAAAGCATAAAAGCAGCACCCGGGGAGTTTTTTGCATACCGCAAGGATTTGGCTCGTCGATGCCACACCTCCATTATAAATTCAGGACCACGGACAGCTGATGACTACACAAGAGACGCAAAAAACCATTCACAGCAAAATCATGTTCCTTTCCATGAGCGAAGATAGGTATTGGTCCAAGTGATGGCATGGAGGGCATATATTTCCTTTCACCTTTAGGGACTGTAAGAGAACACTGGAGACAGATTTCCCTGATGCTGAAGGGGGCGGTTTTGTAGTCTAAACATCTGAATGTTGGAAATACTTATCTTTAGGTTTTTTTTTTTTTTAACTCTGTGAAACAAACTGAACCACTTAACACCGCAAATCATGGCCTCCGGATATGGACTAATAGTCTTCCAACAGTTCTATTTCTAGGGATCTCCCCATTTTACTCCTACATCTTACTCCTCCATTTTTTTTCTAGGCATTGGGTTAGCTTTACGCTTTACAAGTTCTCTGCTAATCCCAGATCTTCCTCCTGACTTGTGTAGGTATGTGGGCCTCCCCTTAGCATCTGCCATGACCCCTCACTCTCCTTGCTGCTGTCACATTGAGTCCACCTTTGGAATGACCCTTGTGTTTATCCACTCTCCTTTTCACTGCCTCCAGACCCCTTGTTAATCCTGCCTCATCCCTCACTGACCTTCTGCCCTAGCTCCTAAACTGGAGTCTCCAATTCTTGTCCTCCACCTTTGTCCATGCTATTCAATGCTGAGAGACCCATCTCTCCAGAAACTAGGGTCAGTCTTACCAATAACCCCAGTTAAGCCCGAACTCTTTACTCCCACATTCACTATACTCTGGGTCATTCCCAAATCTAGCCACAGGTTCCTCTTTTGCTCCATCCTGAAATATACTCTGCTTTAGACAAGAAGGATCCCTTGTTCTTTCC